GGGGTTGTTGGGTTTTGTGTCGGTATGCTCGTCATGCCACTGGAGAAAAAAACACAAGGGGAAAAGATAGTTGGGTTTTTATTGTTTGGGTTTTTATTGTTTGGGTTTTTATTGTTTGGTTTTTTTGTTGGCTTTTGTTTTGGTATGCTCTTCATGCTACTGGAGAAAGATAACGGGAACAGATAGTTGTTTGGCTGGTTGTTTGGCTGGTTGGTTGGTTGGTTGGTTGGTCGGTTGGTTTTTGTTTCAGTAAGCTTTTCAAGCCACTTGCAACACAATTCTTAACTCATATTGCAAGTGCAAAGATTACAATTGTCATAAGAGAGTAACAAACACAGAAAGTAGGAGTACAGATGAGGACGGTATATGTTTGATAATAGAACGTGGAGCAAACCACATAAGAGCACTCGCCAATCGTCCATACGAATCATGAACTGAACATTGTAGATTCAGAATAGGATTTGAATGAATTGTCAGATTCGCAGAGATAGAAATCGCACATAAATAAAATGATAGAGTATTTACTCTTTCCACCAGCTGTGTCCAACTATGTATGGCAAGTTGTTTTGTCACAATTACTAATGTCGAATTTTGTATGGTAATTTTTTTGCTATGATTGCTGATGTCGTTAAACCATGTATGGCAAACTGTTTTGCTACTATTGCTAATATCGTCGAACTATGTATGGCAAGTTGTTTTGCAATAACTGCTAATTTTGAACTATGTATGGCAAGCTGTTTTGCAATAACTGCTAATTTTGAACTATATATGGCAAGTTGATTTGCAACAAGGGATGTAAAAAATAACGTAAAGTGATAGACAGGCAAAGAGACAGAATAAAGATGAAATTGTTTTTTTTAAACGGAGCAACAAACAATGTTTAACCAGAAACAGTGATTGTGATAATATTTTATCAGAAATGGTAATGGTGATAATATTTTACCATAGTGATAATATTTTACCATAGTGATAATATTTTCCCAGAAATAGTGATTGTGATAATATTTTACCAGAAATAGTGATTGTGATAATATTTTACCAGAAATAGTGATTGTGATGATATTTTACCTGAAAAAAAGATTGTGAAAATATTTTACCATTGTGATGTTAGTGATGGTGATAATAGGGATATGTTACCAGAAATAGTGAAGGTGACAATCCCTGAGATAGCGATTGGGGTCTTGTAGAGCTCACTCACCACCCGGAAAGCGTGGGAGTATTTGAAACTGATGTCTCCGCGAAGCTGGAACGACTGTGGAGATGGAGGGGGGGGGGGGAGAGAAAGTCTTAGTTGTGATCATGCTTAGTGACCATAGCCACCCACTGACAGCGGTATTTCAACTATTGACCCGCAGTAAACGATACATTTCCAAAAAAGCAAGAACAGACAGATATAGAAATTCATTCGTACCAACAGCAGTGAGGTTACTGAACACACAGTGCTACA